TTTTTTACCGAAAGATTACTAATGAATTTCCGTGGATATAAATTATTTTGCTTTAACGTGTAGTCAGCTAGGTAGGCTGCCCTCGATGAATGGCGGAGGTAAAAAGTGTGTTGATCAAATTATTTTTTCGACTTTGCAAGTTATATATTTCTTTGAATGCCTTGATAGAAGATAAATTCAGATTCTACAAACCGAAATAAACAACTTAGCACAACAGCGGGAGTGCTATGTCTCTACCTGCAAGATATTCAGATTTATAAAACAGACCAGTAAACAGCATATTTTTTTTTTAATGAGTATTTTTTCTAAATGGAATAGCTAAATATAAAGTTGAAAATATATAAGATATATTTATATCTCTGTGGGTTAAAAATCAAAGAACTGCATTTGAACGACATTCCACGGCACTGAATTTAAACCAGAAAACATCGCACCGAAGATGGCAAAAAAAAAAAAAAAAATTAATAATAATAATAATATCCCTGCGTTTCCACGCCAATATAGCCGGAGATTTTCACCCCATTAGTCTGGCCCAAGATCTAAATCCACACAGAATGATAAATAACCACACCATGGCTTTTAACCCCAACTCTATCAATTCAGAATTTCTTTTGTCACTGAAAACTACGCGCATTTAGTTTATCTTTCATTATATCCGAGAAAGATGCAAGGTGCTGTTCATTATCTAGTTTCCAAAATAAACGGTCCTTTGCAGTTCTTTCACAACCTGTTCTGGGTACATCCAATATGGCCGCCAAGATTTCATTCTGACTGCGCTCTTTAAACAAAAGAAGCTCGATCCAGTCTTTTATTTTAGATGAGTGTTCGAAATAAAATTAACAAACATTACATCCCCAGATGACGAACATGAAACCTCACAAGAAATGAGAGAATGGCAAGAATGAGCATAAACTAACGGAAGAAGAGGTATGATGAACTAAATTAGTTTAACAAGATAAAAAGGAAAAAAAAATCTGATTTTTCTCTTTTGTAATACTGTAAATGGTGAACGAAAGGAGGACGCTGACTACAGAGTAAAACACAAGACGCAGATCTACCATACGGACACATGATTCCATGCCTTGGAATATTACTCATGAGTCATTAAACATAGGAATGGGGGTGACAGGGGCGACCATCCCCACTCTAGAATAGAGGGGGCGGGACCCAACTTCTGCCCCCCCCCCCACTTCTCAACTTTCGAGAATATTCCCTATGAATAAACAAACAGTGAACATCCTTAGTTACCCAATTGTTGAGAACACTGACCCCCTGCAACTGAGAGGGCAGCTACAACTGAGTCTGGTGCTCAGAATGAAATAACCATTATGTCAAATATTATCTAAATAAAAATGACTCGTTTTAATGCAGAAATTATTAAATTCATATGTTAAAGCTTCCTGGCGCTTCGCCTTCCCCCTATTCCCCTAGACATTTTGGGGAACCTACTTTGCCCCCTCCCCCCACTTCAAAATACCTTCCTACGCATATGTTGAGATAACCACACGACATATAGTGGTTTGGGGTCTCAGAAGAGAAGGGTAACCACCGATATACAAGGAAGAAAGACCTGAGGTTACCTTGCAAATAATACTATATATATATAATAGCATTTTACCGGTTACAGAAGAGTATGTTATATACCATACACACTATAAATCAATCAGGATTATTGTGTTATCTAAATACCGGCAAATTTAAGCATTCTAAATATAAACGGCGTTGTCTATATGAGAACACCTGCGAAAGAGTTCAGATGTTCACATAGGTAAAGTTAGACATACAGGTAACAATAACAGCCTTCACTGTGGGAAGTAAAACAACGTGAATCAATGGGAAACGCTAGATCAGTAGCAACTCAAGGACGTGTCATGGCGTCTGTATTAGTTTTTGGAAAAGAGCAAAAGTTATGGAAGCTTTGTGAATATGGTCCATCATTTTGGTCTCTCCTATTTTCAAAAAGGATGGAAAATAATTATGATTTTGAAAAATAATTAATGATTACAATTTCATTGAACAATCATAAAAACAGATGTCATGACACCTCCTCGAGTTGCTGCTAATCTAGCCTTTCCCTGAATAAATCACATAACTTAAAATGCATTACAATTTCTTGGATAACGGTATATATACATATCTTTGTTATACCTTCACCACCGTATTATAAACGTACTATGTGTTGATTACCGGCTATGCCGCGAGCACAGTCCTTGATCGAGTTTTCAGGAATGATCTAAATCCCCTGCCTCGACTGAGGCAGAGGCAGAGGGAACATCCATCCATCATTCCTCCTTCAGGGATGGATCAGCCAATCCCATAGAAAGCTTTGCAAGCGCAGGCTTTGCCGAGGCCCTTCTCCAAAGAATAAGATTAAGTTACTACTCTGCAAGGCAGATTATTGCCCTTATTGACGGCTGTTGCAAGCATTGTGGTGTGCCTGAAGGCACACTGGCGTTTTTTGCAGGATTCCGAGCACACACGCTTCCTCAGACAGAAATCACCAATTACACTGTCACCGGGCTGCTGGTGACAAAAAGAAAAAAATATATAATTTTGTTTTAAAAAATATTCCTTTATTAATGAAATGATTAATCGAAACTACACTATGAAACGATGACATGATGAAAAATCTTAACTGGCTCGGGTTTTGAAGTTCAATCTATTTTTGTCTAAAAGCCATCTCGTACTTTACACATTCATGTCGGGTCATATCCAAAATTGCCTCTTGATGAACAGCTGGAGCTGTTTATGGCAAAATAAGCAATATCTTGTATCCTAAACCATATAATGGTTATGGAATATATCATCTGTTAAAGTCAACAGTACCTACTATTTATAAGCCTGTTGCGCTTAATTCTCCTGTGGCGATATGTACTATTTTCCTTTGCGGTTGATTCATAAGTCGCGGGAATTTCGAAAGGGAAATTCATCATCATCATCATTGCGGAGCTAACGCCGACAAGGGCGCATAGCCGCATCCACCCTTTGCTTGTACCTGCAAGGGTCCCTCATGGCAAGACGCCAGGCAGGGACTCGACCCATCTCAAGCTCCTCACGACAGGTTTGATCGATCAGCCCAAGCCACGACTTCCTAGGTCGACCCACAGGCCTCCTCCACCCAGGGTTGTCTCGAACACAGACAACCTGGTGGGCGGGATCATCCTGAGGGAAGCAAGCCAGGTAGCCGTAAAGCCTGAGTTGGCGATCACGGATTGTGCAGGTAATAGGTCCTGTGCCAGTCTCACGGTGCAGCCGTTGGTTGGACACATGGTCCCGCCAACTGTACCCCATGATCCGGCGCAAGGACCTATTACAAAAGGCATCAAGTCGAGACTCCAAGGCGCAGGATAGTGTCCAGGTTTCACTACCATATAGCAAAACTGGCACTATCAGGGCCTTGAAAACCTGTAGCGTGGTCCTTCTGCACAGGTACCGACAGCTCCAAATACTCTTGTCAAGAGTTCATTTCCTGTGTTGCCTTGCCACTCTGTCTGCTTGACTTCCTGGTCTGACAGCCCAGAATTATGAACTACACTTTCAAGGTATGTAAAGCTCTCTGTGACTTCAATGTCCTCGCCGCAAGCACGTACCGACTGAACAGGTTCTAATATGTCCCCAAAGTCCTGGATCTTGGTCTTGGTCTAGGAGACCTCTAGACCCAAGGGCTTTGCTTCATTACTAAATGCATCGAGAGCCACCACTAAGGATTCCAAAGACTTACGACGACGCTCTAGAATGACTCGAAGCGCTAGGATACGGTCTATTGTGGACTTACCAGGAGTGAATCCAGATTGCTCCAGTCTCTGATGCCTCAGTAGGTGGTCTCTGATACGTCTCAGAAGGATGTGGGCAAGAACCTTGCCTGGTATACTGAGCAGTGTGATGCCTCGGTGGTTGCTGCAGTCCCATCGGTCCCCCTTCCCCTTCCAGAGAGGGATGACCACACCCCTCAACAGGTAAGGGGGAACGGTAACAGACCGCCAGATGGCAGCCAGGACAGCATGCAACCCCCGCGCCATGGGTTCACCACCAACCTTTAACAGTTCAGCTGGGATGCCGCATATACCAGCTACTTTACCACTCTTCAGCTTGGAGATCGCCCTCCTAACTTCGGTTAGGGAGGGGGCATCCTCACTGATGGGTGGGTCCGGCAACGGAATCTCGTCACTACCCGCATCCAAGTTAACTGTTGGTGGGTCAACCTGATACAACGGCTCGAAATACTCAGCCCAACGTTCCCGCACCGCAACAGGATCTGAGACGATCTGACCACTTACTGAGCGAACTGCGCGCGAAAATGTGTTGAATAAGAATACACGGACATGATTTAGCCAGTTAGACCGAAATATATTCCTGTTGTTGTTTGTCTTATATTTTACATTTCCGAGAATAACATAAAAGCCTTTACCATATACCACGTATCCACGCATTAAGTATATATGGCAGATATTTTAATCTGTAGAGAGATTGCTAAATGGACAGTGATAAAGACTATATATGGGATAGTTATTTTTTTCCCGAAATATCTCCTACAAAGAAGACATGGATGCCAAGCCAGCCATAACACGCGTTTCAGAAATTATATAAAGGATTAAAAAGCTACCCCGTATCCAGAAATAAAGATAATATAAGATATGGTATGAGGTATTCGTTCCTGTTACCTTCAAAGAATGCCGATGTAGAAAGGCAAACGAAGCTTTTAACATTGCCTATCATTATTATGTCTCAATTTTAAAGGACCGTGAATGAATGAAAACAAGCGTAAAGTTGTTCAGATAATTCTAAACCCGTCTTAATTGTCCGTCGTAATATCAATTAATTATGAGCTTAAGGTCATGAGAATGCATTTTTTCTCTTCAATATATGTCATAATATAGGAAACAATTATTTTGTTGGGACTTACTTTGTACATCCGAATACCTGCCAAAATATATTTCGACGTTCCTTTGAGTCCCCCCTGCACAGTGCCCCGTTTTCTGCCATGCGCAACTGGAGGCCGA